TGCCGCGGCGTAAACCAAAAGCGGAAGTTCCACATGAGAAACAAACGAAACAACCAGAGGAGCCTGGTGGCGATGCAGTACCAGATGAAGGATTCGTGCAGAGGCCGATATCTCGTGCGAGAAAGACTCGAAAGGAGTTTGTCCGGAAGGCTGGGCCTCCTCCCTCGTCCCCCTCGCATGTGGAACCAGGTATTGAGGAGGAAGTGGCACATGGGCAGGGGCCTCCTACCGGGGCTCCTGACCAGCTGCAACCAGGTATTGAACAGGAGGCAGAAGAAGTGGAAACCGTTCAACAACCGACTCAGCCACTACCTGTTGAGCCTACGCCGATGCAACCTACCTTGCCACAGTTTCCAGAACAACCAGCGCCAGGTCCAGCGCCTGGCGTGCCAGAAGGGGGCTATGTTGAGCCGTCTGTTCCTCAAGAAGTCGCTCCTGTGGCGCCCCACGAAGTTCCAGAACCCGTACCTGTCATGGATGTCCAGGATGATGAGAAACTGCGAGATTTGAGGGCTCGTCGGAACGTCATCAGCAGTCTAGTGGGTGTTGCAACGAGGCTGACAGAAGAATTGATGGCAAGGGAGACACCGGGGATTGTTAGTACATTGANACCTTCCATACATTCGGAGTGAGACCATCAGCCTAATGGAAGCATGCATTGAAGGAGCCCGCGATGCTCTCTTGCAGTTGGTGAACCTGGCAAAAATCCACGGTGAGCAAGTGCATGCGTACTGTTCTGAGACCTTTTCTTCAGACTACGAGAGTATACGGAGTGCTCTGGGGGAGATGGCCGATTGGAAAGAGTTCAAATTGTGTCTCTCGACGCTGTCTTCGGTGGTAAATACGTCGGTAGCTCTGAAACATGAGAATGAAGCCCAGCTTAGAATCTTGCAGTCAATAGAGTTTGCTGACGAATGCAGTGGATATGATTTCGTCAAAGCATACGCAGCCGTTGCTGCCATGAATTTCAGGAAGGAAACCTTGCAACGCTTGTCTGCTGTGGGCAGCGCATTGGAGAAATATATACTACAAGCCCAAAAGTCTCTGCTGACGGGGAAGCTGCAGCTTGGACTCGTACCGGTTGAGATGGATGCAAATTTGGCCCAGGAACTCCATGTGGTATTATCCAAAACTCGCCCAGCATCTGCGGGGCAGACAGCATCTGGAATAACGGAAGAAGAATTACATGTCGTACAAGATTTGCTTCGACAGCAATATCAGGATCTGCAAGTTATGGCTAGTGCGAAGGACGTCCATGCTGTTGCAGCTGTGTACGAACGCGTGCAGCTACTTAACGAAAAGCTCAAAAACACATTACAGATGCAAAAGGAGAAGTTGAGTTCAGCTCTGAAGCGCCAGAAGCTCAGCAAAGAAGACGCCAGCGCTGTGGCTGAGGCCATGGCGAAAATTGCTGAGACTGTCGTCAACGACAGCGAAGATTTCTGGCGCTCTGCGCATGATCTTTATGCACAGATTGGTGGCAAGCCTGAAGATGTGCTTAGCGTTGCTAGCGGCAAAGCGCTACTGCAAACGCTGTCAACTAAGAAAAAGTCTAGTACTCTTGAAAAGGTACAGGGTGCTTCGACCCCTCAGAATGTTGCCGCAGACGCTGTGAAGAAATACTTTGCCGAACCGTGGAGCATGATTGAAGGTTTGGCGAGATATCATTGCTCGAGAGCGCAGGAAACCGTAGAGGCGGCGAAGAAGGGGAAAAAGTACAAACTAGATGGCGAAGGATTTGGATCATCTGCACTGGATAAGAAGATGAAACTTAGGGTTATAGCGGTTGCACGAAAAGCAGACACGGCACTTCCGCTGCTAAGATTTCAATACTTTCATGAACTATCAAAGGAAATTGAGGTGTATGATGGTATATTTAGCTCTGTGTCCATGTATCTACCTGACCCTGCATCGACGGCGTGGGCTGAAGTACGACAGCTGAAAGGCCGATTAGACTGTGAAAAGGCAGTGGCCAGGGGCAGTGAAACGATTGAAAATATAGCTGAATTCGCAAACACGATGCTGCAGACGTCCCTGAGCGCGTGGCGGATTGTTGAGAATGAGCACTTGGCTCAGCTTACAGCGGCAGTCGAAAAGGCGCTCATTGATCTTCATAATACAGCACGAAATTGAAACGGGCTTCTGAACAGTCGAAAAGCACAGACGTTTAGCTGCCCTTATTTCCTGGATACCATGGTTACTCAGTGATACACGTGGCGATGCAGCATGCATTACACATATAAGTGGCTTTGAGTGCAAAATTCTAGTATATAAAATTCGACAGTGCCTGGGAACAAGTTTTGCATTGCTGAATTTCTCTTTCCCATTGCCTTGTCTTAGTAAGCATATCTGGCAAAGGGAAACGATCATATTCGGACATTGTTTGCGCCGATGTGGGTTTGGCCCCAGCACGACTGTTCCGTCGCGCGAGCCATGCGGAATGTTTGTTCTGTAGAGTTATTGGTTCTTATTCCTTACGCAGCGCATATTTCTTTGCTTCTTCGGCTCAGGCAGCCGAGTGGAGTTATGCGCCGTGCGCCGCTCCATTGCGTTTTGCATCGCTTTTTTTAGTGCTGGCCGAATGCTACCGTCTTTTCAAACTTTGTTTATAGTATGGCTGTCCCGTCGCTGTATGTGAGCCTTGAATAAGCTCAGTGCGGGCGGTTGTATCTCCAGGTGCTTGCATGTTTGAAGGCGGAAGGTTATGCTACCAGCCGCAGCCTATATTGTTGTCTCTTCCCTGCCGTCTGCTGCTGCTGCTTGCTATTGTCTGTCTGTGCACCTTGC